AGGGACCAGTCACTGGGCCACAGATGAGTTCCCTGTAGTCTGTCCTTTTTATCTTGTCCACCCTCCTGACTCAGAGTTTGTATCCATGACAACCAGGACTACTTGGTCCAGTATCAGGACAGACCAAGGCGATCATGTAAGAAAGGTTTGAGAGCAGAGTGAGAGGTCAGAGGTAATCACCTCCAAGGCCAAGATGCTTCCTCCCTCAGAGGTCTGGCTCCTGCCCTTGGCAGTGCTGAACACATTCTAAATCCTTCTCGGTGACCAGTCTGCTCTACAACAGAAGCAGGTGTCTTCCTGTACCACTGCATCCTTTGTGTCCAGCACAGGAATGACTAAGGGTGTCCAGGAAATAAGAGCTGTGGCTAATGCTCATGAGACATGGTTGACTCAGGACCCTCCTGAAGTAGCCATTTTTCCCTTATACAGCTTTTAGTTGCCTCTATGCTCTTTAAAATCCATGGCCACAATTCTGGTGCTGTCTGTACTGTAAGCTCAAAGAGCCTTGGCTGGACAAGGGGAAGATGGCAAGCTGAGTCTCTCAGGAGCAGATGACAAATCTGGAGTGCCCTATGCTGGGATATTCTTTCCTGTCCACACCTGCTTAGCTTATTTATTTGAAGGATTCTTGGTTGTTAACCTCTCATATTGGGTTCACACATCACCTCTTCCAGAAAGCCTTTCTGGACTTCTTCTTCCCAAGGCCACTGCTCTTAGGTAGACTTTTCAATACCTAAATAATATAGTCCCTCGAGCACAGGAACTACACAAAATACATCCTTCTGTGACCCTCATCTAGCCATTCACAGTACCAGAATGGGCTCAGGTGAACATTACCAAAGGTATCACCTCTTAGGTAAGAGATTCAATTCTGGGACAGATAGATCGTGTCCACTTGATTGCTTGACTCAATTCATACCTCACTCTCAGCTAACTGATTACTAAAATGACCAGCAGATTCAGAGACATAGTTCTAAATTACTATGCTGAATCGTCAAAATGCACATTACACTTGTAAGCTTTCTTAGAGAAACCAGGGCAGGAAGTGCTCCTTACTCTCTGGTACTTGGAAATGCCAGTATATGGAAATTTTACACTGGGGTTCATCCTTCTCTATTCTGCTCAACATTCCTGTTCTCCCTCCATTTTCTCCTCTCCTACAAAGAAGAGGCTATGGCAAGAGCTAAATACTGGTAGTTTGGTCCAGAGGAGCAAAGTCCGGGCATCAGGAATAAAGCAAATGAAATGAAGTAAGGTTCATAAGAATGGGAGATAACTTAAGGTGATACATTTCCAGGCTGAGAACTGCTTCATGGGAATACAGCTGCTTGCCAGGCCCTGGAAAGGATATCTCACAGCAATTCACAAAAGGGAGAAGACAGAATGTCTTCGTGGTTCTCTCCCACCTCCCATTTTCCATTAAACAGATTTTATCCCATGAATAGTAATATGCCCACACTGCTAGATGGCTAGTAGGTATTTCAAATGGGACATTCAATTTACAGCTGAAAAGCTCTTGGCTCAGAGCTGGTGAGCTCCGGAGAGAGTCTGGTGCAAAGCCTAGGATATGTGCAATATGGTTATTATTTTTCAGAAGAGGAAATGGTGTAGTGGTCAAGCATTTGTTCCAGTCACCTAACCAATAAGTCATGAATTATAGATTTGAACATAGTCTCAATCTGGTTGTTGTAGGCAACTACATAAAAATTTGGATTTTATGTATGAGACAAAGCAGTCACTAAATGGTTTATGAGTTATATGAAATAAAGATCTTTTTTAATGCAATTCCCAGTCTTCACTGTGTTCCATCATTTTATACAGCTATACTGAGGAGAAATAGGTGGTTCTAGAAAGGTAAGCACATCCAAGGCACGGTTTTGAGAGACCTTTAAGAGGAAAAGAGCTCTATTTGGGTTTCAATATTGTCTCCTATGCTTTCATAGTCTTCATTTAAGACTATACCAACCAAAACTGAACAGCTGGTAAGAACCTGGAAGCAACTTGGTGGAGAAACCACAATTAGTGGAACAAGAAATCGACAGAAACCAGGAGCAAAAGGAGCATCTATCTGATCCCTGTGGGTCTATGGGCCTGGGAGCTGGTGTTTATAGATGAACCCTTTGCTGTTGACTAACATGGTCTGTTTTAATGAACAGTGGTCCGCACTGATGCTGTGTGATTGTGCATCTGCTGGCTTTTATTCAGATACATCAGCATAACTTAAATCTGAATGTCCCCCAAACTCTCATGTCCTCAAGGAATGAGATTTTGCAAGGTGATTAGGCCATGAGTCACTGTAGCTGACTTACTATTAGGAGATGGGGGCGGGCTAGAGGTGGATCACTGAGGGTGTGATCTAGAAAGATCTACCTCATTCCTCAGTTCTTCCCTTTATTTCTCTGTTTCTTGGTTCCATGACATGTATATCAAACCCATCCATCAATTACTTGGAACTAGCCAAATGGTGACAGAATTCTCCAAAGATATTAGTCAAAATAAATGTCTCTTCCTTAGGTTGGGAGTGTTTGGTTTCGTGTCTCAGTTACAAGAAAAGGGACTGAGACAGCTCACCAGAAAGGGAGGAAGACCACAGCCTTCCCATTGCATCTAAAGAGCCTTCACCAGGGCAGGCATTTGTATCACTTGCTAAAGGCCAGTTTCTCAAATTGTGCAGGTGTTCTAAACCACTGGAGACCAGATGCCACGGTGTGGCAGGAAAGAGTTCTAATGTCACTACTCACAAAACATTCCTTAAACTCATCATAGGAGTGAGTGGCTCTGAGACATTTTAGAAGGCATTATCAGAATTATTTTTTGTGCCATGTGAAATATTTCCTGTATCTTTTAATAAGCAAGACTTACTCATGCTTAAACTTTGTAAAATTGAATAAGGTAAAGGATTACATCTTAAGAAATTATTGAGGCATACAAGCACGTTATTGTAAGTAGCATCTAACCACATAGTGAGTGGTGGGGGATGTCATGAATTAGTTGAGCTATTGATAATAAAAAATTTAATAGACATGTGAATATAGAAGTGTTATTACTAGGAATTGAAATTATTCTGCAGAAAGGAATTCATTAGCCTTTTACACTGAATGAAGATCATAAATATTGACATTATTATATAGAGATGGTGAAATTTGACTACAAGAAAACACACTGTTGTATCTCTTTATATTTTGATCGTCTCCCCCCACCCTTTGTCTCTCTCCTTTTCTCCCTGTATTTCTCCTCTCTGAGTAAGTTTGGGACATTAGTGCCACGTAGATTTCAGATATTCCCCACAGTGTATCTCTTAAACATTTAGTTGTCTTGGACATTGCCAAAACCCTTCTATATTGCTTTTACCAAGCAGCTTTTTTTGTCCTAAAGGCTGTTATGCTCTGTGAATATAAATTCATGAATGCTTCACAAAATGACATTTAAGAAAGCATAAGCTATTCTACCTTACACAATTACTCTATGTAGGTTAATAGCAACATTCTTTTCTATATTGATTACTCAAGATGTTCCATGAAGCGCTGAGTTCTGGAAAGTGAATATAATTTCAGTGATGTGATAAGAATCTCATAAGACAAAAGGTTACTTCACTTAGACACAAGGAATACTTAGAGGTACAAATTTTAATCAGATAACTTTTCACTTGATTTTGTGTGCATTTGGAAAAAAATCCAAGCAGTACTAAAAATACATAGGAAAAATACAGTTGTCACTGCACTGCTTGGTTCTCCTTCCCAGCAGCAACCACAGTTATAAAACTTTTCCAGATTCTTGTAAAAGTATACCACACACATAAATATCAGCATATGTATTTTCAATTTCCTTTAAAGTGAAAATTACAGCTTTCTAAACTATGAGAGAACAAGTAAACCACAAGTTTGTGAGTTATAATTTATAGAGTAAGAAACAGTTATGGGCAATAATCAAAGAATAGAAGTATTTTTCTAACTAAACCATTTAGGAGAATGTGTTGAAATTAGTAATCTTCAGGTAGAATCTACAAGCCTATTCAGTAAGATGATTCTTGCATAAAGTAACACACTTCAGTCAACTGATTAGAAAGATCTGAGACAGTTTTAGAAAGAAAGTTTCATACAAGATATTTATTATTAATTTACACAGGAGAGAAGGATGTCAGTGTACTGGTGTGTGAACAAATGGGAGAGCAAACATAAGCATTTCAGGGTGCTCTTGTCTAATAGATAAGTAAGCAGTATTCATGTCCCCACGTTGGCTTAGCCAGACACAGAGAACAGAAATTTTGGCTTTGAATGTAAGTGTTAAAGTCACTGAAATATATACCCGGAAATACCAATTTAAGTTTGGAAAGAGCATAAACAGCAGAAAAGATGATTGATTTGTGTACTATTTTTTAGGGAAGTGAGTTGGAGGGAGTTGAATTTTATTTCAACGCAAAGGTCAGTGTTTACATGTGGTAAGGAAAATGCTTCCCAATTGCTATTTTGAGAAAACTCATTTTGATTGTCAAACATTTATTTTTTCTATGAAGGGAAAATCTTTAAAAATATTCTACATTGTTACAGATACTGCTCCAGTTTATCATGCATTTGGTTGTGGCCAACATGAGATGAATATTCCAAACATTAGATGATTTATAAACCTATGTAATAAAGTTACTCAACGCTATCAACTCAGAACCGCATATTTTTCCTTGTGATTAAGAAGGTTCGACATTCATGTACTGAACCACATAAAGAATTCTAGAATGTGTTAATAAACTATTATTTTCATCTTGTACTTGAAAAATTTGTTTTACAATGTATGAATGTTGAGTAGAGATGGGCAGGTTGCATTTCCCATTATTATCAGTCTAAAACCTAAAACATTCAATTAATTTACGTTTTCATATTAATGGTTGCACACAAACCACAGTAGAGCCTCATTTAGTTATTATGTATGAAATGTTTTAAATCTTTTATTATAACACAGTTCATCAACAGCAAAAATAATGTAACTTTTTTCGCTTGGTACCTTACCTACTGTTGAATTTCTCTGGGTGTTTTTCTCTCATGATGTGGAATCTATGTGCAATGGAGGCGTCCTAAGAGGAGAAACAGGAAACAAAAAAGGACATTTTATGATCCTATTACCTTGTAGAAATGCAAGTTGAAAGGAAAACATATTTTTAACTGACTTTTTCTTTGCAATATTATTGTCAAAACAAAGTTCTGAAATTAGACGAAGAAGATTGCACGTTCTCCACCAAGTATGATTTCTATAATTATTGTCACGGTTGGTTATTTATCATATTTGTGTCAAGGAATTGATTTCTATTTTAATTTATAGATTTCTAACAACTTTTTTTCTCCATGCTGAAAGTATGTTTATGATAGTACCTGTGTTCAAAAATACCAAATAGCAGCCAAAAGCATTGTTAAAGAAGGGTTAAAAAGAAGATTTAAGAAAAAAAAATGATCAAATAAAGAACTCCTGCTGCTTTATTTACAGGTAAAAAGACTTGGACGATGCCTCTCCGGCAAAGGCTAGTGTAATACTTGACTTTATAGTTTGTTTCATTCATTTCTCAAATATATAGTTAGTGGCTCTTCATACAAGTAGTTTCAAAAACTATCTTGCCAAATATAGCCATATTTTTTGGAGAATTCAAGACAAGTATAGTTTACCTCTGAGACCCCCAGTGCAACATCTCTGAATCCATTGGGGCATCTCTTACTTTTGGAAATCCTTCAGTTTTTCTTTGATATGGGAATTGAACTGAATGAGTGAGACTGGTAGCATACTGTGATCTCAGCTTTTCAAGCACAGACTGCTCTAACTGACATTAAAAAACCAACCCTGCTATTCCTAGTGAGGAGATATTTTCCCAGTCTTCACCCACACATGATTAATCACTCAAATGACAAATAAATACATTTACCAGTCATCTAAGTAGAAAAGAGCTATTGTTGTAATTAAACGTTAATTTTGTTGCATAGTGAAAATAAAAGAAAAAGAAAGACCAAAACAAAGAAAATAAAGAAGTTGTATATTTGAGGGATTCTTGAAAACACTAATCAAGGATTAAAAGTCTAATGAATGAAATGAAAAGGCTAATGTGCTTACTCATGCATGACAAAGCATGAGGCCCAATAAGGGAGGGACCAATGCCCTGTTGCAGATGGCACAGTTGCTTTCCTGTAAGCGAGAGCTAATTTTAATTTCTTTCTGTGCATTTTACATTCCCAAAGGTGCCAAGTAATTGAGCTATGACAAGGATGTAAAGGTATGGAGAAATGAGCTCAGAAACAACACTGACAATAAAAATTACACAAACAGTCCTTTATTGGTTGCTTTTCTAATGTATAATTCTGTTTAAGGCAAACACCAACTTTCTTGGTTTGCTAAGAAGTAAGAATGTTAGATGCTTTAATTCTATTGATCCAAGAGCTCTCACATATAGACACAGAATCTGTTTCTTTTTATTTTAAATAAACACAATTTTTTAAATATGATATGATTATGTGATATAAATGGAATCATACATTTTAGGTTATGGAGTGGTCTTATTGTGATATAAAATTGTAGAAAATTCTGAATAAAGCTATTAAGGTATATGTGGTATGATTAGTAATTATTTGTTAAATTTATTGAAAATTTATCCCTATTTACATCAATTTAGAATACCTTCCAATTAAATGCACATATCCAGCATAGCAGTCAAACAAAAACAAAGAGTATGAATCAAGACTAAGATGATCAATAATAGCTCCCCATAGAGAGAACATCATTGAATTTGCTTCTACCTGAATTATCTGTTTCTGCTAATTTGAGAAAACAGACTTTAAGCATAGATCATGCATATATTCTCTTCACAAGGGTGTAGTTTTGGAATAAAAAATCTTGTCTTTTCCAAAGCAACACAGCAGGGCACAAAGGAACAAAAGGACAGGAAAGGACAGACAGATACCAAAGGCCACTTGAATAAACTTGACTAAGCTGAGTAAACTGCTAATGTAGAACACTGAAACACCAAGTAGTGAAAGTTAAACTTAATTAGCTCTATCTCCAAGATACTCAATCAATGGATCATTTAGTAAAATGAGGAGTAAAATAAAAACCAGACCTCAACACTGGCAGGCTTTTTCCGTGTTGAATGGGTTCCACTACAAAGAGAGAGCTGGCTTTGCTGGCTATAGGACTGATAAGGGACAATGACAGCAGGTGCTCATTTGGATGAGAATTCAGACCAAATTCACAGGGGACCCTTTCCCTCTGGCAGTACCCCAAGGGGTTTGAAAGAGTACTGCCCAAAGCACAAACTTAATCCAGCAGTTACAGTTCAGGAATCCTTAGGATTTTCTAACAAGACACCAAATAAGAAAAAGCAAACATGGCATTTTATTAATCTTAGCCTTCCACTTCTATTTAGTATACTTTTTGGAAAATAGAAACCAAACAACATTGCTTCCACTTCCTAGAATAGAGAGAATGAATTTAAACAAATTTCCAGTTACAAGTCTTGCTACACTAAACAATTTGCTTGTTAACCAGGAGTCAGAACTTCTTTATCTTTAAAAGAAAATACTTTTAGTCTCTTAAAACACAAAGGTGATGATTACATGAGACTACTGTATGCAGCAATTTAAACAGTACTCTGCAGAGCAGAGATGCCTGTAAATTTTATAAACATAGAAGGACTTTCTCAAAGGTAAAAAAGGTGCTAAACATGCTTAAATTACAGATTTTTCAAACACGCATTTTCTTACTTTCAAACTGCTTTATCATTTCCTGAACTTATAAGTAGTTTAGAAAAGTAATTTTTTTCAAAATCTTATCTAAGACAAATAAAATATAGCAAGTTTATTAAAGCAAAACAAATTGAAACTTTATAGTTTAAGCAATAATTTTCTGAGTAGTTTTTCTAGATAAATATCTATGTCTACATCAACACATGCAAATGATCATACACAAGAGAAGTGGGTTTTGGCTACATTTGTTTCAAATACTGTTTCACTATTATTCTTCTGAAAAGTGTTTTTCTCTTTTCTTATATGAGTTTATTATAAAAGTTAATATTTATTTTTTAAGTTAATATTTAAATAAAACAGACCTAAATCTGCAGGGTTTATTTTAGGTTTATTAAGTTGAAAAAGAATTGTATTCTATAGATTATAACGTTTTCAACTGATAGACTTTATTCTGTAAGTGCTGATATATCTGAGTCTATGACAAATTATAAGAAGAGAATATAATCAATGCTAATGTTTTTTATCAAAATGCAATTTATTTTGCCCAAATTTCGACATAGATACTATCTCTTCTATTCCATTTAAAAATCTATTCTCATAATTTAGCTATTAGGAATCATGTTGTTATAAAGATGTGTATGCATGTAACACTGTAATACAACGTCTTCAAACCTTTGGGAAGATACTCAGGAAAGATATAGTTGGATCAAGTAGAATTTCTAGTCTTAGTTTTTTGAGGAATTGCTACATTGATTTCCACAGTGGCTGTGCAGTGTATAGTTACACCAAAAGTATAGAAGGGTTCCTTTTTCCTTACCAATATTTGTTGTTTTCTGAGTTCTTTTTTAAAAAATTTATTTAAAAGAAAAAAGAGGAAAAAATAAAACAAAACAAAGCGGTGTAAGGGTACAAGTTATACAGAACTACAAAAAAAAAAAAATCACCAGTTAATAGATTACACATTATCATCTTAGAGATAGTTGCTCAAGTCACAGTATCAAAGCATACAAAGTGGACATTCAAACAGTGAGATTGCAAGCAGTTGTGTTCAATGATCCAACCAAAAACATTAATATGGTCATCTATTTAACACCCCTAAACACACTTGCAGTTGTATCCTTTAGAGCACTTTTTTCCCCTCTCTTTTTTACAACAAAATTTACACATTTTGGGTTTTATTACTCCTTAGTTCTTATTACTTTTTTTGGAAGAGAATAAAGTCAAATATGGCAAAACAAAGCTGTCAGTCAAAACCAAGGATAGACATAGTACATGATGTAAAAACAGAATACAAGGTTATCAACAATGGTTACTATAATGCCTCTTGCTTCCTTAAAATGAATTGTCTATCTCATTAGGTATTATAATGTTGAACTAAACAGTAGAGAACAAGACCAATAAAACCTAAACATTGTAAACATTATAGGACTTCCAAGGAGATAATAGTCAAACCAGAATGGGCATCTTAGTGAATCTTATTGCCTTCTAAGTAGTTGCCTATACCCTCAAACTTGATACTATCATACAGAACGGAACAGAGTCTAATCAGTCAAAACAAGATAGTGGGAGTATTACAGGACTTCAAATCAAGTTAATAGGAAATCAAAAAAGTTACTATAATATATCCTGCTAATTTTTAAAAATTTTCCCCTTAATTAAAAAATCATAAAAAATAACTAATTTTTTTAATGAACAAGGGAAAGACTGAGGTAAAAGAGGACATAACAACATAACAATACAGGTCAAGCATGACTGTTTCAATAACCTAGTGCTTCACAACCAAATAACCCGACTTAATAGTAGTTACCATAGGGTTTGTCTTTTTCCTTGAAATATTTGAATATAACTTCATATACTATAGCTTCAAATATTTCCATATCAAGCAGTCTAGAATAAAGCCATTCCAATTAATAAGTGAAGACTTTACAAGGCTTCAAGGCCACATAATGGGGAATCATGATTACCACATACTTTTATATATTTGAATCATTACTTACATTAGGGAAACTATTTGGTATTCACACATGCAAGACTGATGTATTTCACTTATGAGTATGGTCTCAAGTGATCCTTCTTTATAGCTGAGTAATACTCCATTGTATAGAAATACCACAACTTTTTTATCCATTCCTCTGTTGATGGACACTTAGGTTGTTTCCAAGATCTGGCGATTACAAATTGTGCAGCTATAAACATAGGTGCACATATATCCCTGTGGTATGATGCTTTCAGTTCTTCTGGGAATATGCCTAGAAGTGGAATAGCTGGAATAAATGGGACTTCAAATCCCAGCTTTTTGAGAAATCTCCAGACTGACCTCCACAAAGGTTGTACCAGTCTACGCTCCCACCAA